AAATTTTTCAATAAACACACTAAGGTCTTAGAATCTTACCTTTTTTCATTATGTGCATTCGTGACCCATGCCCTTCCTGCATCTGTCATACCAACATTGTTCGGACACATTCTATTACCGACAGGGTTTACAGCTAAAGAATTTAATGGTATTCCAACTTAGAACTTCTCTTGACTGAACATTTCTTTAATCCGGTTTCCATTACGTAATGTCCCACGACATGGAACGCCTATAGAAGTACGCTTATCCATAGAATTTCGATTATAAATGCACATTTGTGCATATTTTGCGAAGCTGTCTCAATCTCATGTTCCATGTCAATTCTGCTTCGCAATTCATTTTTCGATGTGAACCATATTGCATATTTAGCTATATGTGCAGAAAGCATCATGCGCTCTCACTTGATCTCAGCTTTTCTAGTTGCATTCACGTGGTCAAAAAATTATAACGAAGATTTTGGGGAGCAGTAAATCCGAACAACATATTTATCTTACTCGAAGCTTCTTAATGTAAGAGATGGTAACTGCACTGTACGAAATCGTCTCTTCAAAATTCCTCAAAACATTTTATAGTGAAATTAGATGCAATGAACAAAATGTATGGAAATGGTATGTTTTTCAGATTCAGCGGGCCCAGGAACTTTCGCCAAATAGTTTTGGTCTCATCCGTACAGTTAGAAAAGTTAAATAAGGCGAGACAACTATGCTCTCAAGTACCATAGAGCAATTTTACAGAGAGTTGAGTTCCTTTTTTTCTGAATTTTGATGCAAACAAAGCCTGTTTTCTCTGCGTGTTTTATTATAGACTTTATCCATACGATCACTTCTGAACAAAGAAACTTTGTACCAGAAAGTTTTGTATTACTGATGGCATTACGTAAACACTCTACTTTAGAGGAAGTAATTAACTCAAATTAAATGCGAAAGAATGCTTGTTGCTGATCTAATGCAACTCACGTGGATAAATTGGTCCTTTGTACACGCAAAGACCAGTAGCTGCATCACAAGTAGATCCACGATATATAGTGCACTCGTTATCGTTAACGCAGCTGTATCCTTCTTTGTAAATGAGGCCGCCTTTGTATGCTCTTTAATAGAAAATTTAACAAGTATTTGTTGATTACGCATAGGACAGGAGTATATGTTTTTATACGATACTCTATGGGCGCAATAAATCCTGTTTTTCAACCGGTGTTTTTATGCAAAATTACTTTAAGGGAATTAGAATTGAGATCAATGTTTCAAGGCGTATCTATTGATATACAGGTTTTTTCTTGCACAGCCAAGATTACCTAGTATTACCCTTAAGGAGAATTAGGTCATGCACAATTCTTTATAAATGTCTATGCTCAGGTGAGTTTGACATGAAATGTGCTGTAATTAGTAGTATAATTTTAAGTGTTTGGTGGTCAAAAGTGAACTTATAGATATTAGAATCACGAATAGGTCAAGAACATTCGAGAAGGCTCACCTAGCATTGAAAATGCACGAGAAATAGGTTTCGGTAGCATGACCACCAGCAGGACCATCTTCATGGTAGCATGCCATTTTTGTAGCATTTGCATAAACCATCTAAAAACTATTACTCTTTACTCCATTCTACAAAATTTTCGGGATAAATTTTGTATTTTCACATTTTCATAAATTTTTGCTTGTTTGCAGATGAGTGAACATACATTTACAAAGGTTTCCAGACATTCGTCGTCATACTTAACCTCCTTGTTTCTTACGCCGTAATGTATTGCAGGATTGTACCATATTTGTACTGCCAGCGGGATAAAGTTAGCGGCATTAGCTTGAATATTTGCCTTTGTAAACCTATAAGAATTATTCATGAGTTTTGATTTCTTTGGATAGACTTCAACAAACCAAAAACTTTCGTTTTCTATTGAATATGTAGTTTGATTAAGTTAGGATCGGTCAAGAGTAGCTAGTTTGAGCGGGTCAAATGCTTCCCACCCTTAATAATAAGTCCTTTGCAAGCGCATTTTTTTCATTCTTTAATTTGCGCTGAATAGTTTTATTCTAATCCTATCTGTAGGTGCAATGCGGCTGAGAATTAAACTCATGTGCGTTAGGATGCGAACGATGAGCAGGCATAGAACGCAATATCGCTGACTTAGGTATGTGATAAAACAGTGTCCAGAAAAGTCTAAATTTGAGCTTTTCACGTCAGGCATGACATAGTGCTTACAGCCAAACCTATGAATAGTGAGACATTTCTGCTGTATTACCAAGCTGGAAGTTTTGTTCCGCTACTCATGTGACAAAGGATAGCTTAGTGCCACCCAACTTACTTTGCAAAATTCTAAGCATATTTCTTATCCAGCGTAATAGCCCCAGTCAGTTTTCCAACTTCTGTCTCAAGCTCTGTTTCCATGTTACAGTCGTATTCCTGAAAAGCAAACAACTCATATAACCATAGCTCAGAACTATTTCGCACGCAAATTTTTCACATTTGTAGTCACTCTTTCTAAAAACTCCAGCCAAAATCCCTTTTGATTAGCTCACCAACTTATAAATGTTTGATCCTTGTGGCAAAAATCCTCTGTAATTTTCTCCAGCACCGTTAGCTACTTTTTGTCGAATGCCGTTGATAGCATTGAGCATCGCTTCCCTATCCGCATTGATCATATGATTACCATTGTTATTCGGACAAACTGAAAATTATGCAACGGTTATTACTCTAAGACATTTATTACACAATAACTTGAGCAGTATTAGGCAACTTAGTCTGCAAAAGGTTTTGAAGCATATGTTCAGCACCAATAAACATCAAAGTTCATAGTCATATTCTTTCATGTTGTTTCTTGAATTCCATATTTTAACTAAATAGATTCCATATTTTAACTAAATTGCTAACCTCTTAAATATCGTGAGTACTTAGCAATTAAGCAATGATGTTCACTTGAAAGTTTTCTCACTGCGAAAAAAGTACAATCTATTGTGATAACGGTGAAATAACAATTCCTACAAAATCGAGAAGACAAATGCTATTATCACTATGCAACATGCTTCTATGCTTTCTGCATACTTATAGCTTACATTCTCTTTACAAGATAAAACTTTTGAGGCTCTTAGAATTATCACTATCGCCGGCTGCAACATCCTTGATTGTTAGACAGCCAAGAAATATAAGGAGAGAAAGCTGTAACAAAAAATATTTAAGAAACACAAAAAAGCTAGTGAGCAACGAACATACCATATGACTAGTTGCATTAGCAACTTCCATTTTCCGCTATTCTCCCAGCATTTTCCGCTTTTATCCCCGCCATCATCTGTGTAGTCCAGGTGCTGAGCTTTTTCGCTATTTTCATTCAGCGATGACGAAATGTTTCTCTGCAGAGACAAAGACCAGCAGAATAAAT